CCCCAAAACCCCAAAACCCCAAAACCCCGGTATGTTATGAGCTGAGAAAAATCTAGAAATTTGAAATTTAGAATTTAAAATCAAAATGGATTACGGTTTCTAAGAAATTGAAGCATTGAAAGAACTTGTTGGAGTAAGTTATTAAAATTTATCATTTTAAAGGCAAATGAGGATGATGAACCTACTCATGTTTATGGTTCAGCCATAAATCCAGGGACATTAGGCAAAGGGGGTAAAGATAAAAAGGAAATTGCGAAGCCAAATACTAAAGTTGAAGTAAAAACTTTTAATAGAGATGCTAGAGGAGGTGCTACTGAAGAATCTTTAAAAAAGTAATAAGAGGAAAAGAAGAAATAAGATAAGTCAAATGATATTTGGACTGAAGAAGAAGTAAATATTTAAGCTGAAGAATTGCCAGATGATCGACCATAACCCTAGTTTGATGTAAGTCTCTTTAAGTATATAGTTGATTGATTAATGAATAGGTATTATACAAGCAACATGTAGGCACTGAAGATGTATTCTTGGGACTTTCAGATAAGGACCCTTCCTCAGCTCATTGTGATTCAATTTTAGTTAAGATTTGGCTACCTGGCGCTAAACTTAGTCAAATTTAATTAGACATCCAAAAGTAAATGATTGTTGTCTAGAGTCCGACTCATGTGCTCAAACATTTCTTGCCATACCCAGTCGATAAAGAAAAAGGAAAGGCTTAATTTGATAGCGACAAAGGATTACTAAGCGTTACTGTAATAATAATTTTATCATTTTTTACCATAATATTAGCTACCAACAATAAAAAAGACTATTTTTGATGATTATTGAATGACTTAGGGGAGAGAGCCTAGTATTGTTTTGAGATTGAAGTTTAATTAAGGTTAGGATTAAATCATTATATTTTATTAAACATTGATTATTATAAATTTAAATTCTAATTTTGTGTTTAAATATGAACAAGTAGACACTTGAAGAGCTTATAAAGTTTTGTGAGGCTAAGAATTTGGGAGAAATAGCAACGGGATTAAAAAAAGACCTTAAGGCAATTGTTCTACCTTAGCAGAATATTAAAGATCCGAATGCTAATAAAGAAAATTAAGAAAAAGCATTGAAAATTATAAGAAAGGCAATCAAATAAGAGGAATTGCGAAAAAACAAAGAAGAGTTCAAAGACCAATTGCCACTGAAACCAATCGGCTAATAAAATCTTAATTTTTCATTTGATAAGGTTTAAACTGAGGAAATAATGGAGAAGTTGATGAATCGCATTGTTGGAAAACCAAACTTAATAGCTGATGATAAACTTAATGCCAAAATTGAAAAAATATTTAATGTGGATGCATTTTAGAAGATGGTTGAAAATGCTGACATCTTTCAAGATTTAAGTAGCTCATCATTGTTTAATTAAAGTGAATTCTTGTAAAAGTCCATAAATAACAATCCTAATCTATCATTCAAAAAAGTTCTTCCTACACACTCTTAGTTATAGGAAGAAGACGAAGAGGAGCTTCCAAGATTCGGACACACGGGTGCCGATCCTGCACATCAAGACATTAATGATAGTGTAAATGAGTTATTCGCTCCAAATGATAGAGGTCAATTGGATGATTAAAATGAAAGATAAAGCACCTTTCATATTAACGATGATTCTTTTTCTTAAATTAAAGATAACGGAAAGGGAGATATGTCGCCAGCAGAGCCATTTTAGCTAGGAAAACTATCAAACCCAATAAGTGAGAGAGGCTTTAAAGTTAACAAAAACTAGAAAAGAATGTCAAAAGGTGCTTACGGGGAAGATTAATTGGAAGATTTAATGCAAACAAATACTGGAAAGATGCCCTCAATGATCTAGCATGCTGATGGATCATTCTTTTAGAATAGCTAATCATTTGTATTCCCAAATGAAGAAATCTAAATTATGAACAAAGAATAGGTCGACAAGTATATTGATGATGATGATCCAGGATATGAAATTTATCAAGTTGATGAGGAAAATTTTGTCGCAAGTTGCAAAGAATTGGCAGAAATAAACAATTTTCCAGCAAGAGCTATAAGACCAGATACTAAGGAATGGTAAGCTTAAAGAGAGAAATACAGGAAGGTATAATAAGAGTTACATTAAGTAAAGAAAGATGACTCATAAGCTCTTCTTTAGAAGTTATAACAAAAGAAAGAGAAGAAAGCTGCTATTAATCTTGAAGATGATGAGTTAGCTGGAGCCTCTTCTGCATAACAGGAGGAATTCATAGAAAATGAGGAAGAAGATGACGGAAGAAAGGCCTCGGTACTTCCTAATTGGATTAAATTTATGCCATCTAATGATGAGTTCTATCCTGCTGAGTTTGATAATGTCATTTATGACTGCTACAACCTCAGAGTAGTTTTCGATAGAGAAAAGACAGGTTTCGAAGAAACAAAAGAGTTTCCAATTGTCATAGGCTCTATAGTCGCAGGTAGATATTAGGTGGTTGAATACCTTGGATCTGCAGCTTTTTCAAAAGCTATCTAATGCTATGATATTCATTCAGAATAAATGGTTTGCATGAAAATTATTGAGAATAACAAAGACTACTTTGATTAGAGTATTGATGAAATAAAGTTGCTGAGATATATAAATGCTAATTGCGAAAATTTAGACGACAAAAATCTACTTAAGCTTTATGATTTCTTCTATCACAAAGAGCATCTCTTTATTGTCACTGAGTTATTAAGAGATAATCTTTATGAATACTCTAAATACAATAGAGAGGTTGAAAAAAGTCAACCATACTTCACTGTTAGTAGACTTTAAAAAATCACGAAGTAAATTCTGACTGCATTAGACTTTATTCATAACCTGAGATTAATCCATTGTGATCTTAAACCAGAAAACATCTTAATAAAGAGTTATTCTAGATGTGAGGTAAAAGTAATAGATTTCGGTTCTTCATGTTTTATTCATGATCATCTCAGTAGTTATGTGTAATCTAGATCATATAGAGCTCCAGAAGTAATCTTAGGATGCAGATACGATTACAAAATAGATATGTGGTCTCTCGGATGTATTTTAGCTGAGCTTTATACTGGCTATGTTCTTTTCTAAAATGATTCAGTTCAAGGACTATTGGCTAGAGTTCTTGGAATTATAGGGCCTGTTCCAGAATATATGATGAAAGAAGGAAGATTAGTCAGCAGTTTTTTCACTAGAGAAGGATTGATCTATCAAGAAGGTGGCAATGATGATGAACAAGAGAGTTAAAATGTCTCAGACTCAAGCAGAGCTCAATAGAAAAAGAAGGGAAGGGGTGAAAATGATGAACTCAAGATAAATATCTTAGTTCCAAAGATGACTACACTTAAGCATAGACTTAAATGTGACGATCCATATTTCATTGACTTTGTTAGATGGCTTCTTGAAATAGATCCAACTAAAAGACCATCAGCTAAGGAAGCAATGCAGCATCCATGGCTAACTGAATGTGTTTACCAAGAATGAAAATAATATTAATTCTTTTCAATACTTTAGAGATTAATTATTATTTTAAGCATTAATTAATTACTGTCTATTATCTAATTAATATAATATTCACAAATTTTATTTATATTTTTCTGCTTTAAATTGTCTAACTCTTAATTTTACTCAATAATTCAAGGCAAAAAATTTAATCTCATTTTCCAGCTTTAATTTATGCTAGTTTGCTCTTGCCCTAAAATAATTATTTAACTAAATTTACGCTTTGCCATTTTCTGTCATTAGTTCTTTCTTCAAATACTTTTTTTCATCTTAAAACACTTTCTCTTTCTGCTTAATTTGCTTTTGTATTTCTTTAACTATTTATGAAATTAAGATTAAAATGGGGTTTTAATTTACTTTCACGAATGATAAGATTGCTTTAATCTTAAACTTTGTATTTCATTTCATACTAATTATTGACTTCATCATTCTTTTATCTATTGATTATCTTTTATTTCTTATCTAGCTCAGAAATAATTGATTTCTATTCTTTAAGTTAATCTTCTTCTTTCTGAGCTGTACTTTGTAGATTTTCATACATTATTTTAGTTTACAATTTTATTAGTTCTAATTATGTCTCTAACATTTCAAATTCATCTTTTTGCTCATCTTTTTTCATTAATATTTCCTCTAATATTCTATTAGATCTAGCCATTTCCTCCTTACAATCAACTTTCTCCATCATAGCTTTATAGAAATTCATAGCTCTATGCTAAATTTTTTTCTGATGAAGTTTATTTTTACTGATCATTTATTAGATATCAGACATAAATCTCTGAGGTATAGTAAGATTGAAATCAAGATCTACATTAATAAGTTTGCAAAATCTTGTCGTTCTAAGTACATCAATCAACTTTCTGACAGTTTTTAGCTATATAGCATTATTCCTCAAATTTAATGTCCCCACATCTGTAAAATGTTCTAGTCCTTAAGCCAATAAATATCCTGCCTCATCCTGTAAAAGTAAATTATATAAATTTTGAATTACGTCAAGCCTATTAAATGATAAGTCTAGGTATTTTAGTGCTAATGAACGTCTTTAGTAATGAAAAAGTTCACTAAATCTTTGCATGCTTTCTCTTCCGATACTATTATGGTTGACGCTTAAATGAGTTATCGTATAATTATTAGCTAGCATATCCAAGATATATATCATACCTCTATCATCAAGATTGCAATTATTCATTGATAGATGCTTCAAGCTTTTATTAGACCTCAAAGAATTCCCTAAAGTTGCACAGCAGTTATAGTCTATCTCATTCTGATCCAAAATCAGTTTCTCCAGAAATCTAGTTTACTTTAAACATTGAAACATATAAGTAAAACCTGGTCTCTCTTTAATACAGCATTCAGCTAAATATAAAATCTTAATTTAAGATTTTTAGTCTTCGAGAAGTGGTTATGAAAGTGAGCATGAACCTTAATTCAAAATTCTATTCCTGCTTAAGTTTAAATCTTAGATCCTGAAGGTTTAAAAGAGTTCTACAAAGACTTGAGAAGATTTTTCAGTAATTTCACAATTTTCCAAGTATAGCTAGATTATAGTTTCATTAAACTTAAGTGCATTAGCCAAAAGTCTAAACCCATAATTTCCGATCTTAGTATTTGATAGGTCAAGAAATTAAACGAAATAATTGTGTTAGAATAATTCAACAGTTTAACTAACATAGTGATTTGTGAAAGAATTCTTAATAAGACCATCGTAATTGGTCATGACTAATTTAATTAGAGATTCGTTCTTTTTTAGACTTTTGAAAACTCTCGATGCTCCTTTATTCGTCATTTCTGTTGATGAAATATCTAGCCATATAATAGTTTTAGATCTTTTTACAGCATGCATGATTAGTATAACACCAATATCTTTAATAGGATTTTTGGAAATATCCTATAATAAGGCATGAGAAAATGAATGATTAACAAAGTAATTCAACTTACCACGTGGCTAATATAGTTTCCTGGGTTCATCATTATTAGGCATAATTCCTCAGCGCATTTTTATCCCATACTCATATCTTATAACAGAATTTTTCCATTTACACATTTTTCTCGGCAGTAATCTCTGAAGTTATCATGGTAGTACTACTGAAATTCAATGTTGTTATCAGTACATTTAGCTTTGAAAATTGTTGTGATTTAGTCTGTTGTAAGTGTACATTTATTGTGGATGTTGTGAACTTTCAATTTTTTTCTCTTTTTTATTTATTCTTGCTACAATATATCCTTTTTAATTTGAGTTAGGTTTAATTATTATCTATTCTAAGGAGAGGGCTATTAAGAACGGAAATTAATCATAGATTTATTGATGACATCCGATTTAATCGGACTTAGTGCAATTTTCCTCATTGAGCCATGCCTAATGTTGAAGATTTTCTACCTTGATTTTTGAATTAATATCTATTTAGGCATTTGATTTATTTTAGGTGTTATTAGATGTTGTGAGAGTAATTCTTAAGTGCTATTAATTAAGCTATTTTTATTTAAAAGTGAATCATCTCTTGGCGAATAAATGTCAGACTGGAGTAAGGACTACTAAAATAGAGAATCTTTGTTCTAGCTGAAAAAGTTTTTGGGAGAGAAAAAGTTTCTTCTATTAACTTCTAAGTATTCTTTGGGTTCATCGAGATTAGCAATTTAATATTGTGGTTGAGATTATAAATGAAATTACTCTTTGCTTTTTACAGTACTAGAAAATGATTCATAAATGAAATTTGTCGGGTCTCTGTCTGGAGAAGTTTACTCAATATGAGTATCAATGTAATCAGTTTGGATTCTAGGTATCAAATTATGTTTGTGCTCAACTAAAAGATTGATACATTAACTTTGTTATAAGAATTTACCTCTCGATTAACGAAACTTGCTTTTATTAGCATTAACATCTAGAAATATTTGCTGTTCAATTTACTTCTTGGAGGATTATCTACCTATTTTTCGTTGTCTCTCTTATTCTAAATCCTATAGAAAAATTCTAAAATGTTTGAAAGTACCACTTCTTATTGCATTGCTTGAATATAGTACTTGCTCATTTCATGGATTTATCTGTTTTTTTGCTGCTCTCTGATCTTATAAGCAAGAGACTTACTGGAAGAGACCTTTGAAATAGTATCACTTAATCTCTTTGATTGCATAATTAATTTAAGCTATTAAATTCAATATTTTAAAATCTCTCTTCGAACAAAATTTTAAAATATTTAAACTATGGGGTTTTGGGGTTTTGGGGTTTTGGGG